TTGTTTACCCCACTCTCCTTCCCCTGGCACTCCCCAGCCACCCTTTTGCTCGTACCTTGAAAGACTCCAGGAATCCCCCATGGCCCCCACTCTCAAACTTGTCCTCTTCTGGGCCCAGTCCCAGCATGGCCTGCGTGTGGGCGTGGAGTTCGTCGTGAAGGTTGTCCAGGAGGGCTGCCTTCGTCCGGTCTTGGAAGGGAGAAGGGTGGGGGTGGTTAAGCTGGCACTGAGAGCAGAGATGTGCCCCCCCCCCCGGAGGCTCCAGACACCTGGCCCAAGGGCTGTGAATCTGGCCAGCTGCATCCCAGCAACAGTGTGGACCTATATCCAGGCTGGGCTTCATGCTCACAAATGCTGCAGCTAACACTACAGCTCCGTGCCCTGCCCCCTGCTCCCTTCTCTCTGTCCCTTCTCCCTGGGCCATCTCGCCCTCCCATGGCTCTGCCCTGATGACTCCCAGCCCAGATCTCTGCCCCAGGCACCACGTCCATGTACCCAACTGCCCATACATAGCTCCTCTCCATCCAGGTGTGCATCCAAGGTCACATCTACAGCCACCAGGGGGCGCCATTCACACAGACCAGGACCAACCCTTTCAGCAACACAGACTTTGCCGGTGCCTCCAAATAGCAGGTCCAGACAGTGTTCCCATGTCAGCAAAGAGCCCAAGCCAAAGGCCCGGGTGGCTCCCCACAATCCCACTTCTCCCCACTCTTATATACAAGAGTCCATCAAGTCTTCCTGACTCTGAGCACTTCCTGTGCTGAAGCAAGCTGCCACTCTGTCTCTTGGACTCCTGTAATAGCTTCTAGCTGGCCCCCTTCCTGCCCTCCTGCCTTCAGGCTGACCGTCACCTCTGCCACCTCCTCCTGTACTTTATTAGGGCCTTATCACCTCTAGCTCAAAGCCTTTCTTGATCTGACCCAACCAGCATCTGCAGCTGGTCCTCCCACCATTCCAGCCCCCTCATGAATCCAACCCTCTGGAGCTCCCTCACGAAGTCATGCTCTGAATCTGCCCGGCCTTTTCATGCTGATTCCCACGCCTGGAATAACCCTCCCCAATCTTTCCTCGTGGCAGAAGTCTCATTAGATATCCAGATTTGGCAGCTCCAAGGCCACCTCCTCCAAAAAGCCTTCCCTGAACACACCTTCCATTCCCCACAGGCAGAAGCAGCCACTACCCTGAGCCACAGCCCCTGCTGGCCTCCGTCATAGTCCAGGGCACTCTATCATACCTGTCTCCACCAGCCGGTGAGCTCTGTAGGGGCAGAAACTGTCTCACTTATCCCAGTTTCCCAGGGAACAGAACAAAGCACAGTACACAGTAGGTGCTCAATAAATAATCAGCGAATGGTTGACTAGACCTAAAGTTTGGAGGGAGTTCCCACAAGAAGAAAGAGCTCCACATCAACACAATGCTGAAGGCTTAGAGGGGCAAAGATGGTGCTTCCCACCTTAAATAGCCCCCAAGAATAGACCCTCGAGAAAGGCTGGCCCGGTGGGCAGGAGGAAGACCAGAAACCTCGTGCTCACCTCCAGCTTCGCAAACTTGTCTGACTTGCAGCAAGCGTTCTCCGCGTTGGTGAGCTTGGTGGGCTTGGTGAGCAGAAACTCTCTGAACTCTGGGCCCTGGAACAGACAAGATGCTCCATCCTTAGCTGCTGCCACAGGGCTTTAACCACAGTAAGAGGCAGGCAGTTCAGGGGGCCTGGGGGGAGAGTCTACTTCTGACACTGCATCACTTTTAGCCCAGCCCAAGCCCACCTGCTAAGATGCCAACATGGAAACCAGCTGCCCTGGTGCTAGCAAATCCACTTTCCACACCCACCATAGCACTTCCGGGAGTGGTGGCCACTTGTGCCCAAGGCGCCTGGGACTGGCGTACAGCATAAAACCCTCCTCTGAGCAGAAAGACAATCCCAGTGTCAAACACCCTGACAAGAGGCCTTGTGCTGGGCCAGGCTGGCAGTACAAGGAGAGGTGGGGACAGACACCAAGTAAAGGAGGTTCTCAAGTTCCCAGCCCAATTCGTCCCCCCTGCAACCACTGCCACTCAGGCGTGGCAACCTGGAGTCTCAGACATGAGGGAGGCAGAAGGAGAGTTTCTTAACTTCTGGAAAACATGGGGCTGGGCAGAGGTGGGCCAAAAGCAGGCACGTATTCCCGGGCAGTGACTGCAACCTGAAACACAGGGACTCAGTGTGGGCCACCAGAGGGGAGACACAAGCTGAGGATGAAGAGCGTTCTGAGTCCTGGCCCTGGGGGAGCCCCCTTCCCACGCAGATCTACTCCCCTTCCCAGAATACAAAGAATGTCCCCTGGGCCAGCGCCAGTGAACCCAAGTCACTGTTCCTAGAAGTGGGGCTGGACTGTGCAGAGCCATCCACACGCCCTCATCTGCATTCCAGGAGGCGGGAAGCAAGTTTGGCAAGATGATGGGGCGGGGCTGAGGAGCAGCCTGGAACCCTAACTCTAATGCAGTACCAAGAGCCCAGGAGATGCTATCTCTTCACCTCATTCGACGGGATGCTCATCCTACAGAGAAGGCACAGGGAGAATGGTCAGCCCTGTACTCCTGATGAGGATACAGACGCCCAGAGCCGTGGAGCCCTCCCTCCAACGGCACACAGGAGATTAGCCCCGGAGATGAACAGACGATCCAGAGCTCTCTAACCCTGCTCGGGGGTTCTCTACCACAACACTGACTCCCATGACTGGCCATACATTAGAATCACTTCAAGTGTTTAAATACTAGTTACATGGGCTCCACCCTAAACCTACTGAATCAGCAGCTCTGGGGTGGAGTCAGGACTCTGCAACTGTTTGAGGCTCCTGAGAGAATCTGTGCGGTCGGTACACTGGTGTTTGGGAGCCCTAGCCCCGCACACGGGGTCGGTCTGGGTGAGGCTGAACTCACAGAGCACCAGGGCCCAGGGTGGGAACTGGGGGCAGGGGGACATGCAGGTGCTCTGCATGGGCATGCAGGCTGGGTGTGGGGTGTGCACCTCTGGCCACCCTGGTGAGGGAGGAACTAATGGAGAGAGGGCACCAAGGTGTTCTTCGTGGGGTCTCCCAGGCTCAGGACAGGTCCCGCACCTGCATCTCCCGTCTCTGCCTGGAGATGCCCTGGTTTCACCTGTTCTCAGCCCACGAGGCTGCAGGCCTCTATGGAGACCCTGCCCTCTCCGGAGACCCTGCCCTCTCCCTTCCGAGGGAGGCTGCTGACATGAGCCCAGCCCTGGTGCGCTGCCAGCCTCCCGGGCCCGGCCCGTGACGTAGGGCAGATGCAGAGTCTGCCAGAGCGGGTGAGCAGGCACCTCGGAGCCAGGCCAGGCCGGAAGGGCCCTGCCAGGATCTGGAGTGCAGGGGAGCGGGAGAGGGCTGGTCGGTACGGCTTTCTCTCCCCCAGCCCCAGGCTGTCCACACGGCCCACACCATGGTGCCCAGAGTCGGAAAAGACTGATGTGATTTCTGGCTGCTTCCAGCTGCCACACCGTCCCCCTCCACCACCCACCATCACCCTCAGCACAACTCAAGAGTTCCACCCACAGAGCCAAAATCAGGAGGAGGGGACGGCCATGGAGAGGCTGCTGATGGGACCAGCCCAGAGGCCAGGTTCAGCTCCCCCATCTTCCCACCCCGACGCCGCCTCCTTCTCGGGCTTGCACTGGAGTGTTCTGTGCTGGCTGGGTGAGTGGCTTCGATATGTTCTGAAAGCGGCCTGAGTCTCCCAGCTGGAAGAGCCCACGAGCCAACTGCCCCGCAGCAGCCGGGTCAGAAAGGCAGGGGGACGGGATCTTCCCTTTGCTGGCTGTTCTCTAACCCCACGTGCTCCCTCCCGTCCAAATGCCCGGGCCTTTGTGGTTCCCTCCTCTTGGGGGCGGTTGGGTTGCTGGGCTGAAAGCAGAAGCTGCCTGAACACAACCTCCCCTTCCAACTTTCTAGACCCAGCCAGGGCCTCCTGGCAGGGGCCGGGAAGGAGAGAGGCAGCAGGTGACTCTGGGGAAAAGGCTCTTCAAGACCGGAAAGTGGAAGGAGGCACGGGTGTGTAAGAAGGATGTTCTAGGAGTGGGGGTGCCTCCAAGATCTCCAGACTTGATAAGGTCCCCACGCATGCCCAAGGGTGGCCTGGAAGCCCTGGAGGACCATGAGGTCACTCAAGCGACAGATCAGCAGTGAGGGGAAGGGGGCACACAGCCAGGAGCCGGCCCCCTGGTCAGCTTCGTGTAAGACTCCTGACACCTTTGCAGGACTTCAGGAGTCGGGGCTGGGTGAGCTCAGACAGGGAGGGGAGGGTGTCCTGGTGAAGGCTCAGCTGAAATTTCCTTCCAGTCTGGCAGGATGGGGATGAAATGTGTGTCTGAAACATAACTTGATGTGATGTTTCATGCACACCCCAGATGATGGGTCCAAGTTCCCACCTGCTGTGACGGCTCCATGAGGAAGGCCACAGTCAGACCCGGACAGGACTCTGGCTCCACTGTTTCCATGCTCTGTGGCCTCAGATGTTAAGAAACCTAAGCTCTTGGCTTCAATCTTCCCCCTGTAAAATGGGGCTAACAGGAGGCCTATCTGACTAGAGGCTTGTGAGAATTTAAGAAGACTGCTTTTAAGGGCCTGGCACAGTGCCCGGCACAGAGCCAACAACCAGTAAGGAGTAATCATTGTCACTCGGTGCTTTTTTAATTTTCCCTGCTGTTCTGCACCTAATAAAGGATGAAATACTACAGAGTTTCCCCAAACCACTTCCTAATCCAACACACACACACACACACACATCCCTCTTCCTCACCTCCTCCTCCTCCCTCTCCACAGCATGTCAGGGCTGGAAGGAGTTCAAAAGTTGTCTACTCCAACTTTCTCATTTCACACAGTTGGAAACAGAGGCCCAGAGAGGGAAGGAACTGGCCCAAGGTCACACAGCAGTCAGAGGCAGGGCCAGGACCAGAACCCCAGGCTCCCAAGCCGCTCTGTCTGAGGTCCTTTCTTGTACATTCCCACCCCTGTCCTTCCCCCTTCCCTCTCCTTCCTGTTGTTTGTCCTCCCTGGTGGGGGTCTCCTGGGGCACTGCTCAGTCCCTGGGGAACTCTCACCCTCCTTTGCCACAAGCCATAAGCCTGCAGGGGTCAGCTGAGGTCCACGTTACCTGGACCCCCCGAGGGGTCTAACCAGGTCCTCCTCAGTCCGCCCATCACTGGATGATGCACAGAGCTTTGGGGGCACCTTAGAAGGCTGATCTCCCTCCCTGTCCTCTGCCCTGACCCACAGGTCCTGCCTTCCAGCTTGGATGTCTGCCTGGCAGGTAGAGTTCAAGGTCCCACATCCCCGTGAGCTCTGCTTCTCACCTCTCTGAGGACAGTGCTTCTCCCTGGACCAGAGATTGTGGCTGGGGAGACTTGGTAAAGACTTCTAGCATCTGTGCTGGGGGTGGGGTGGTGCTTCTCTGATTTTTCTTTATTTTCCTAACTCTACTAAAGTTCTTGGGAAAGGGAAGAAGCCAGTTAGCTGGACTCCATTTCCTACCAGGAACTTAAACACTAAACATCCGCAGGAGGCCTCATTCTGCCAGCAGAGGCCCAGCGGACGAGCCACACACACATCCGAGACTGCCTGGCAGGGCCCGGGAGCCCTCCTATCACACAGTTCTATTCTGAGCATCCTTCTGTGTTGCGCTCTCCCTCCAAGAGCCGTTAAATGAACCAGGTGGCTGGCTGACCTGTGCTCACAGCCTCTTCTGCTCCTTCCCTGAAGCTGGTTCTGTACGTCACTTCCACGTGCCCGCACAGTAGGCACTGAATGAGTACGCTTGCTTCCACCAACAAAGTAATTAGGCAGCTGATGGACAGGCATGCCCGTGTGGGTCAAAGCCTTCAAGGAAACACCCAAACCGTGGGTTCTCCAACTTTTCAGCTAAAACTGCTCAGTGACAGAGGAGCGTGAACACGGGCCTGTAAAGGAATCAGTTCTCCTCCATAGGACAGAGTGTGGGGTTTCTTTTGTGTTTGGAAGCCTCCTATTTGGTTTTTAAGCGGATGTGACTTTTGCACTTAATATACCTGGATTTGTACTGATAAAAAAGTCATATAACAATTATAGAACATCGTTTTTCTTTCCCAGAATATTCAAACCAAATTGATACTTTGTAAAGAAGGCCATGAAGTGCTATGGCCTCCTGAACCCTGGAACCAGCTTTGGCCTAAGTTAATACACAGGAAGCCTTGCAGGCCTCAGGGTTTCCCAAGAGCTCCTTTGCGCTCTCCCTGACAACACTGGCTCCTAACACTGGGGGGCGCAGGGAGTTCTGAGAATTTGAGCTACAGCCTCTCTCCTCTGCAGACACAAAGCAGCACGTGAACTCCACAGTTTGTACCTATCTACCAAGGGTTCAAAGACTTATCTAACATCCACTTTAAAACCCCTGCCTCAGTCTATGTCCCTTGGGTCCCCTGCTCCCCCCACCACTGTGCGACAGAGAAACTGTGGCCCAAGAGGTTGGAATCGTTTCTCACAGTTAAGGCGAGGGATAGTGACACAGCCATCAGGAGGTGTGGGGTGAGGGCCCAAGGCGCATCTGCATCAGTGAGGCGTCTGAGAAAGTCCACTAATGGGTCAGGAGCTGAGACCCAGGTGCTCACAAGCCCACCCCACCCCCGCCCCCAGGAGTCTTCAAATGAACGTGGCTCATTTGCCCAGAACAGCTAAACCAGAGGGACCCCCAGGGGGCCAGGGTCTACCAGGACCCCTGCCCTCCACTTCTCATCATGAACATTTCTCCTTTTTCTTTCTTCCTTTTGTCTGTTACTGTCTTTCTTTCTCTCCTCTCTCCTGACAGTCCTCTCCACTTTCTCTTTTTTTCTCTCCTGTGGCTCTGCCTTACCCTAACAAACAGCATTACCAGACTCCAAGTAGGGACAAGGGAGCCTTCTCAACCCTTGAGGTAGAGGCTGTCCCATCTGGAGGCAGCAAGACAGACCAGGGAACCTGAGAAGGTGCTCTCCAAGGGTCTAACTCCCAAATCCCAGAAACCCAAGAACTCATGGGAAATCTATCACGTGTTAGAGACCGGTCTGAGGAGCCACTGAGAACTGGTGTTCCTTGACATCACTGATTCTGTTAAGTGTGGTGAGGTGCCTGGGTCCCCCACTTCCTCCAATGAGATCTTCTCCTTACCTGGTAGGATGGGGTCTCCATGCCCAGGTTCTCAGCCTGCACTACAACGTAGGCATGTAAGAAGTTGGATGCAATCATATCTGGGACAAACGGTGTGTTTTCTTCTTGGAAGATGATGGCCACAAAGTCATTCCCAATGTGTCTCTTTCTCTGGAGCTAAACAAAAAGTGTTCCATTGTTATAAGCCAGTTAGGAACATCCTGAAAACAGAATAGAACAGAATACAGGAAATTCTTCTTTGTTCTATCTGTATACATAAACCTGGAACACTGAGATCTCTCTCTCCAGGGAGCTTTTTCTTTCAATCTTTAGAAGCCACTAAAAAGGAAGAAAATGAGGAAGAGGCCTAAGTTGCTAGGAAGAGGCTAGCAAGCCTCTGACTGAGCTCTGCAGCATGTAGAGAGCCCTGACTCGGGACTGGTGATATAGTTAAAAGGTGATGCCAGGTTTTACCCTGGGAGAGCCTGTATTGGATCAGGGAGAGACACAAACACAGGTGGAGCCCCTGGAGAACACTAGCAAAGTCACCAGGCAGCAAGTGCTGAATCAGCCACTGCCTACGTAGTGCCTAACACTATAGGAGTAGAGAAGAGGGCAAAATCAGGGGCCTGATGGTAATCTGAGAAGGCTTCCTGGAAGAGGAGATTGGGTGAGGGGGGAGCACTTGATGGACATGTGGATGAGCAGGGAGGAGGGGGCAGATTATCCTATACCAGAAGGGAGAAGAACCATACTTAGAGAAATATGGACACGCTGGCTTGGTGGAGGTCATGGGGGAAGACAGAAATCCGGCCCCAATTCAGCTTCCCACGCTCAGCCAGGTGCTGTCACAGGCGATCCCAATCACCAAGCACCTACTGTGTGTCAAGAACCATGCTGGGCTGTTCACATGCATGATTTCAAATGTTAAGGCCCTCCTGGAAGCCAAATCCTGGCTCAGTGCTTACCTACACATTTGTTCCTTTATTAAGCACCTACTGCATGCAAGCCTGATGTTTCATGTGGAGTTTCCCACTTACTAAGCACCTGCTATATATTAAGCCTCATGCCAGGAACTTTTATAAACTGTCTCACTTATTCTGCACCCATCATCTCATTTCTTAGCAAAAGGAAATGAATATTTATTCAGTCCTTGCTGAGAGCCAAGCTCTGTGCACGTCCCACTTAACTGAGGTGACACTGAGAATGAGCCAGGCAGAGACCAGCCCTCAGCCTCAGGCTAGGGCACGGGGTGAGGGGGGCCGTGAGGGAACAGAGATTGAAGGTGAAACACTGAGAGAAAACCCTCTTTGGAAACAAAAGGAATCCTGCTTCTATTTGTTTCTGGAACATTCAGTAGTAGAGCCAAATCGCAGTCTCCTTTGCCAATTTCCTTTTTTCCTAAGAAGCCAGGCACTGTGTTTACAATATGACTTCTGTGCTCCCTCCCAGTTCTCTACTCGGAAACATGGATCCGTTAGGAAGCCTGCCACAAGCCAGGCATTGTACTGAGCCCCACATTTGGACCCTTATGTGATCCCCACAACAACCCTCTGATGTCCTTGGTGTTATTCCCATTTTACAGATGAGGCAAGTGAGGCCACAGGGTTAACCGGTTTGCCCAGAGTCACAAACCCCTAAGTGGCAGAGCTGGCTTCAAGCCACCATCTGCGGACCCTGTCATGTACTCTTCACCACCACCCTACACGGTCTGGGCACCTGGGCTCTGCTCTCAGCTCTACCCCTGATAACTTGGGAAACAGTTTTTTAACCATATGGAGCTACGATTTCCCCATTGGTCATAGGGAGATAACCAGGGGCCCTGTCCTGTCTTCCACACAGGCTGCTGACCTACGGCCTTGGTGAGATAACGCAATAGCATGGGCTTTGATAGGAGGAATGAAGCTGAACAGACGGGCCTCTTGATTATGAAAACAGGGAAGGGGGCCTTAGTCCCTTGGGGAGACCAGACCAGATGCAGGCTCTCACCTCGCACACCCTGGTTTCCCGAAGCCCTCCCGAACCTGGTTACCTGCTGGGTGTCTCCCTCGGTAGACGGCAGCTTTGTGGAGACATGAAACACGGTCTCTGTGTCCCGGAATACTGTGTACAGTGATTCCACCCCTGTCTGTCCGTGCGTCATGTCCAGGCCTCCTCGGAAACTTGGTGAAGCATTCAAGTGCCAGGGGAGGGAGGGGGGAGGGAAGGAAAGTGGGGAAGTTTGTAACAACCAACCGCACCCCCTCCTCTGTTTTTTTGTGTAAAAAGAGCCTGTATTCTGACTGGGGGAGGATGGTTCTCCAAGATATTTAGTTGGCCATCCTCTCCGTCGGTCTGCCTGCTTTCCGAATAATGTCGCTATTCCTTGCCCCAACACCTCGTCTTCCGATTTATTGGCCTGTCGTGTGGCCAGCAGAACGAGTTTGGACTCAGTAACCCCCAGACCCCTCCTGCCTGTTTCTGGGTTTCTGGACCACAGGATGATGGTGCTGCAGCTGCTGACAGCTCTCCTCCCCATGCCCCCCAATCCAGTCTCCTGAAGGAGGAGAGTCCAGCTCTTCCTAGCTGGGGATCTCAGCCTGAATTGGAGAGACAGCAGAGGGGCTGCATCAGAAGAGCACTGGGCCAGGAGCCCAGCGGTTCCTGGCACACTGGCAGTGGGTGCTCAATAAACATTTCTTGTTTGGAGAATCACAGCATTGGGGTCTGGTCTCCCCTTGGTGGCATGGTGAGGGTGCAGGTCCTTCCCTCCCTCCCTCCCTCTGCACCCATCTCCTCTCATCAATAAGTGTGGAGGTGGGGGAGGGGCCACAGTTTAGCTTCTAAACCCTGGGGACACAAGCTGGTGTGCAGGCAGGGGAGGGGTGGCCTCTCCGTGGGAAGGGCGCCTGTCGGGACAGGCATCTCTCCTGGTTTGCTGGGGGAGGGAGGGGCAGGCAGGCTGGAGGGTGGGTGGGGCCCCAGCTGTGTCAGCCTGTGAGTGGAGTCACCCAGGCCAGGAGCAGGAGGCGCGGTGACTCAATTGGCAAGGCCTTGCTATCCCCCCAACCCGCTCAGGGCAGGGCAGGTCAGGGGTTGCTCGGAGACCCAACTCCAGAATACAAGAATCCTGTTGCTTGGGGTGCAACCTGATGGGCTCCTGAAGCTCTGAGATGGAACCCTGGGGGGGCTGGGTGCAGGTAAGGGGGGGTGACCCGGGAATAGACATTCTCTGGAGAGGTCCTGACCCTCCTTCCCCTCCCCCTCCACGGGCCCCTGGTATCTCACCCTGGCCCGTGCTATTTCTGGCCCATTCTATCTCTGTTTTCTTGTCTCCCTGTTTTCCCTTTGACATTCCATCCCCACCCACACGCCTTGCAGTGAAGTGTGGCTGGAGCTGCCTCTGTAATTAAGAGCCCTCCCCTGGCCAGCCAGGCACACACCCACAGGACCAGGCCATGGGCAGCCTCTGGTGTCAAGGCTCCTCCCCTGGACAAAGGGCGGCAAAAAATGGCAAGAGCACCCCATCCTCACTCCTGGGGCCTGCACCGTCCTGCCCTGCTGCTCCTGCTCCCACTGATGCCAGGGCCCACTCCAGCCAGAAGCCTTTGGGAGGCACTTCTGCCACCAATATCCTCTCCCCAGGCCTGAAGGGGACCCCCTCAGCAAGTTCCCCCACCCAAGCACCAGTGGGCAGGGGCAGCAGTGCAAAAGGAGTCCCATGGAGAGAGATCTAAACAAGTTACGAGCCAAGCTAACTGTTAAGTAAGACACCAGACCAGTATACCTCCACAGGGACCTGAAAGGCCGGATAGAATTGAGAATTCTGACTCCTTCTCAGAACGCGGCAGCCTCTGGCAGCCTCGGGGAAAACTGCTCCCTGGCCTCCAGCCCCTGGGCCATCCCCTTCACACCCCTGGCTCCCCCCACACCACAAAGGGCCTCCAGCATGCGTGTAGGCACCCCAGCTCGCGTGTCCCTGGTGTGTGCGTCCCTTTCCCACAACTGCCCCTCGTCACCTTTTGCCTGAGTGTGCGCACACCAAGCGGTGCTGCTGTCCGAACAGGAGGAAGAGCCCAAGTAAGAGACCCCCCAGGCCCCTGAAGCAGGGTCGGTGCCGGGCACGTCCCCGGAGTGTGGTCTCCGAGGGGAGAGGTGCGAACTCTGTGTAGGCTCATCCCCTTGGCCCTGTGTGGAGGGGCGCAACCCCGGGACGACGAGAGCAGGGGCCTTCTTCAGGGCAGGACCTGGGACAGAGGCCCCCCGCCCCGAGTCTAAGGCTGGCTCTGCCCCGTCTGCCACCAGGGAATGGCTTGGTCTGTGCTCCTTCCCCGCTGCTGCGACGCCAGGGGAGAGCGGCTGTGTGCTGAAAAGGGACCAGCATCGGCCTGAAGTTTAGCATTGCATCTGTTCACCAGTTCTCCCCATATGGAGGTGCCATCCCCGCTTAGGCTGCAGAGGAGGGAAGAAGGGTGTGTGTGTGTGTGTATCTGAGTGGGCTGGGGAGAGAGCGCTGACACGGCCTGCATTTGTGTATCTGGATCTGTGTCCCTGCATGTATATCCCTAACGTGTGAGCATGGAAGTTTGTATGTGTGTGTGTGCATGTAGTGTGTGCAGATCTACATGTCTGCTTGCCTCTGGAAAAGGGGACCCCACAGAGAAAGGGCTGGTTGTGAACACACGCAGAAACTCTTGCACCTCCTTATATGGCCCAGAGGCCTCCTGGAGGATGAGAAGGGAGGTGAGCAGAGGAGGGCAGCCTGGCTGCCCGTTCACCTTCCCCAGGAAGCACCTCCCCACCTTCCCACAAGCTCCCCTCAGTGGATCTCTCTTTGCCAGTAACTCCTGTCTCTGGGATGACTTGGGTGCCCTTTCCTTCTTTACTCTGGGGCCCCAGAAAGCTGCAAGGTTGAATTAACCATATGTGTTCTTGGGGGCCCAAGGAGTCTGTTTCCATGGAGCTCTGGGCAGGAGAAATGAGTTTAAATCACAGGGATGCGAATTGAGGCTAGACTTCAGAAGGAATTTACCGGTGTTAGAATAAGGAGACAAGGGTATTCATATAAGGGAGGCTGGAGAATCTCTTTTCCTGGAGATTTGTCAAACAGAGAAATCCCTGCCTTTAAAAGCTTGGAGGTAGGGGACTGGGTACGATGACCTTTTCCTTCAGGTTCAAGCTACAGAGTGACTCTCCTCCCTCTCCCCGGGCACCTCCTTGCCCCATGAAACCGCATCCCCCCTGATTCTAGTAAACATCACTTTCTGATTCTTTTCTGTATCCTACAGAGGAATGAATACTCAGTGACTACCAGGCAATAGTAGGTGCTTAGTAAATGTGCAGAGGACCCCTTGGTCTGGGAGGCACAGCTCTTAGCCCAGTTATTCCTGCTGCAGTGGTGCCTCCACCCAGTCCCAGCCTGAGCGCTGAGCTGTGGGGCCAGCTTGTTACAGCATGTTCCAGACTGACATTCAGGGCGCATTCTGGGGAGACACACAAACACACACATGCAGGCTTTATTCTGAAGCCTTATTTCTGCCCCTCCAGCCCAGCCAGGCCCTTCCACTCCTCTGCAGTCAACCAGCCCTACTGCCTGTATGCTGAAGTCAGGAGAAAGGAAGGGGTTAAGCCAGGCTTAGGGTGGGAAGTGGGTGTGTGTCTGTGTGTTGTGTTTGTGTGGGGTGTGTGAAGTGGGCAGGGGAAGATGGGAGGTGGGACGGGAAATAAGTGAAGCCCTGGTAGGGGCAGGGGCCTAGGACTGGGAGCTCTTTTCCTCCCAAGCTGGGGTCTGCATGGCAGGGTGGCAAGTGGGTGGGTGGAGCAGGGATAAGGTGGGGAGAAAGATGCTGAGATAAACTGGAAGATGGGGAATAAGGGAGACAAAACAAAGGGCAGTGGCCCTGGCGTGTTGATGGTAACTGATCAGGGATGTTGATGTCTCCCTGGCCCCTTCTTGGATGGCACAAGCCTCAGAAGTGAGACTCTCACCATCATTCCTTTCTCTGGTGGAGACAGTCAAGAATGCTGCTGATGTACCTTCCCCCAGTGCATCGTGCATGCTAGCTTTGGGAAGATAAAGCTTTTTTGAGGGACCCTTTCCGGAACAACCACCTGTCTGATACCAATGCACCCAGAGTGACTAAGATGACCTATTTACACTTAACTCTCTGGAAGCCCTTGGAGGGTTGGAGTCATTTTGATTTTCTGTGTCACCAGCGTCTAGTCCAGTACCTAGCATACAGCTGGTGCTCAATACTTATGTGTTGATGAATGAGTATCTATAAGACCCTTAGCATGCTGTACAGCCACCAGAAGGCATTCACTTCATCAACCACAGAAAGGAAAGACCCTTGTCTATTGGGAAGCTCTTTCTGATTACTGCCCCCAGGCTCTTCCGCTACTGAGGGGCCCGCTGCCCTGCTTCTTTTATGCCAGTGATGATTTCCTTTAGATCTGCTGCCTCTGGGATTTTTTTTTTCATAGTAACTCTCAGTCGTGCAACACAGTGCTCTCCTCCTTCAGAGGGAGATAAGGATTTGAAAATGTGGAAGCAAATAACAATAATAATAATAAAAAGTTAAAAGCCTGTGGCAAGGGGTGTAGAGCTCAGTGGTAGAGTGCATGCTCAGCATGCAGGAGGTCCTGTGTTCAATTCTCAGTATATTTATTAAAAAAAAAAAAGAAATGTGGAAGCAAACTGAATGGGGGAAGAGGGTAAACAACACAGATAAGGGAATTTAAAGGAAGAATCAGAGGCTCCAAAAGAGGACAGATTAGACTGCTGGGCATGAAGGGGATGCTGGGGGTCACTCTGCGTGGAAGCCTCACTGTTCTGGGTTACGTGGGCGGGGAAGCAGCTGGTAAGGTGGAAGCAAGAACTGGTCTTCTTTCTCTCCACAGGGTAAAATGCAGGCTGCACTGTGCAGGCCGGCCACTCTCCTGCTGGATGACAGGGTGCCACGTGGGATAAGGCAGGGTACAGGCCTGTGGTGGGGTCACTCCAGAATTCCTCTCCTCACTTCGGAATTCTTCATTTCTTTTTCCTCTTGCCTCCACTTCCTGTTATTTTCTTCCCTTTCTGTTTACAAATAAAACTGACCAGAGCCCCAGAAATACATGGTGTTCTAGGGCTTCATCCTTGTTCCATCTAGGTCCGGGCCCCTGGTTCCCTGACTGTCATTTGCAAACCAAGAAGACTGTAATGAAGAAGTTCCTATATTTTTGGAATTAGTAAAGCATTCCTTGTGCAAAGCCTGTGTTAATGTATTCATTATTAATTCCACGTGTATTTGAGTACCTAACAGAGTAGGAGTGTGTTTGGGACTAGAAGACAAAGCATAACTGTTGTTCATGAGGCGTTCATAATCTAGCTGGGGAAGCAGAGACATATATGCATGATGGAGACAATGAATGGATACATACAATGAATATAATGGTAATAAAATCTATAGTTACTGGTTTTAAACAGTACCAGGATTTAAGTTATTCCTCCAAAGCCAACTATTTTTGAAGAAAGCTCAGGGGTAGGTCATGGGTGGGGCTAAGGGTCTGGTATATTGCGGTGGAGAAGGTAGTGAAGGGGAGGGGAGAAATGGTGCCAGGTGCCAGTGATTTGGGGGTACTTTGGGAGAATAGACTAGAATCTAGATGATTAAAAAAGCTTCAGGACCTGCTTTGCTCGGAAGGTGCTGATGTGGAGTAAAACCTGCTTAAGGACACTGCAAAGACAGAAAAGGGACAGTTGGAGGAATGCCCTATAGAGAGCCACCATCAGTCCTGTCTGGCTAAACTAGGGTTTTATTGAGCCACTCATAATCCTACTCTGAGCTTTAATTCCTTCAGCTATAAAATGAGTGATTTGACTATTCAATGATTCCCAGACTTTTGGATTTCACAGACCAGTAAAATGTCAAAGAAAAAAAACTAAGACTGTGAAAGTTTCTAACTTCTAATTTTAAAGCCCAAGTATTAATCAAAACAACTATCCTTTATCAGTATCTCTTCATAAGACAATTTTTAGCATCAAATTGAAGGAAGGTCATACTTGTAGGATAATACAAAGAAATAGATTTTGTTCCGTGGAAAAAAGATTAAACCTTGATTATACTGTCCTTTTCCCATTTTGCTGAGAACTAGTAAAAACTTCATCACAGCGCAGCATGGGTCTGAAGACCATTGTTTGGAAACGTCAAGGGATCTGCTCTATTTCCCTAGTAACATAGGATAACACAGGTAACGCCTGACTTTTAGGATGCCTAGAACATCCCTTCTCAGGCACCATGAGCTCCAATGTTGGTGCCCTAATTGGACCAACTTTTTCCAAACTTATCTCTCCTTCTCACTTTGCCTCCCAACTTCCACGTCATCTGACCTCCACCAGACCACATGTATAATTCATCAAAATCATGAAGGAAAGGGAATTCTTTTTAATGATTTCCTGTTATGACAGTTGATAGATTTAATGAGCTATACCTTGATATATTTAAAACTCATGCAAACACTCTTAGGTCAAAGGATTTCATCTTTAGCGGTTACATTCCACAAAGAGTTGGGAAATTTAAATTTTTAAAGTTCTGTGGGTATTACTGGTAACTACCTAGTGCTCTAGTTTTCTGTGGGAATTTGAAAATGAAGCCATCTGCTATAAAGACATCTGCACTACTTGATCCTGTGAACTCACCCTTTGGACTCTACCCTAAAAATACACTTGAACAGAAGCACTAAACCCCAGACCTAGAGGCTGCGAGGTTGGCAGAGGGTCACTAGAGGCCAAGACCCGCCCGGAGCGGGAAGGGCGAAGGAGAGGTCAGAGCACCGCCCTCGCTCCACCCCCGCCGAGCTGGCCCAGCCCCTCTCACCAGCCCCTTAAAAAAAAAACAGAAAAACAGCGTGGGCGATCCTTGCACAGGCGCAGGGCTGCTGGCGCTTGAGCGCGCACACGTGGTGACTACTAGTGGGATGGCGGAGTTGGTGCCTTTTGCGGTTCCCACCCGGAGTGACAAAACCTTGCTGGTGTGGGAGCTGAGCTCCGGACCCAGGACCGAGGCCTTGCAGGTGAGCTGGCCAGGGTGGAGGGAGGGATGCAGAAAGCCGCCCTCGCCCCCAATACCTGGGAGTCCCTGGCCAGGTGACAACACCCCCCCCCCGTACGAGCCTGGCGCTGCAAGGTGACCCCCACTCCGCACGAACAAATCAACAAAGAATAATGCTTTGGCTGGGTGTGGGGTGCGGGTGGGGAAGGGAGCGCGTAGTAGTGGCGGGGCGGGAAGGCGGCGGTGGTTCAGCCCGGGGCGCTCTCGATCGCTCGCGCGCACGCACGCTGGTCCGTCAGCCCACTCGGGGCCGAAGGTGGACTCAGCGCTGAGCCGCCGGCCCAGGCCCAGAAAGGCGCCGG